TCCTGTCCAGACAGAATGATATCATCCTTATACTTTCAAAACCTTCCAACTCAGGCTTGTCCAGAGAGCATTTCTTCCCACTCCTAAGTGAAAACCTATTTTGGTGATAAAACCTTAAAGATTTATTTAAATGACATTTTAACATGACAGCCTCATACGTTCTTCTAGTTTTTTCAGCTTTGCATGCACCGCTCCTTTGGCCTCTGTCCCGCAGGCCTTTCGCTCCCAACACGGAGCCTTTTGATCTCTGTTTCTTTTTGCCCTTAAGACTGTGTATTTTTTCCTTTAACAGAGGTTATTTGGGAATAACGCTCATGTCACAAACACCAATCGCAAGTACCTGTAGTACTCAATTAAAACGAGAAGCCCAGATGTTCAGCGTCTTTAGGATCAAGACTTAAATGACTGGGGAAGTTGAGCTTACAAAACGTCGTCCCGGGGCAATCTGATACGGAAGAGCCGTTAGAGATAATCGCGCCTATTTACACCCCTGAGGAACGCTAGAGATCGTCCCGCTCTATGATAGGATTCCCAGACTACACCTAACCAGATGCTCATCCCAGATGTTTAAAAACAAACTTCCACTGTCTTTAATAAGGAGTCTCAGGAGCTGTGCTGCTCCGTGCCCCCGGCCCTACGGAGCAGTCAAATGGTAGAGCAGAGCGCGCCCTCGGTGGCACCCTGGGAGCTGCTGCCCCGCAGGGCACGTCCGCATCGGCAGGGGACACCAAGTCACCCAGCTGCTCCTATGGCCCCACAGCACAGCAACATCCTCAAATTGTCTGCAGAAACAGCGTCGATCCTTGCATCCATGGCCTTCCTGATCCAGTACAGACACGGGCGATGCTGAAGTAGTGACGCCTCCAACAGGACTATACCCTAAGCAGCTCACTCATTTCGGTCTAACAATAAACGTAGGTTAAGTGTGGCGACCCATCGTAGCTCAAACTAGGAGACCCCCCGCTTTTCAAACGCCCAGATTAGTGGCTGGTCAGAAGCTGTTGGCTGTGGAAATAACACCTGCCCCTCCTCCCTCCAGGCATCCATCACCTTTTCTAAAGCTGAAAATATTCACGAGGATTGCTGGGCTGCTACGTCCCCACTGTCAATAAACGCGTTTCTGGGCTGTGTTTCTCCTCCAGCCCAAGCCAAACAAAAGCACGCTGCATTAGCTGGGAATTCCTGTGAACTTCTGAGGGCCCCCTCCTTCCCTGCATTCCTACCCAGGCGAGCGAGAAGGTCCTCTGCAGCCTGAGCAGCCGGCCTCAGCTCACTGCCGCTTGCTGTAAGCACCTACCTGTTCATTCGTGTTCTCCCGATGGTTGATTCCACCTCGCTTCGGAGCACAGAGACAAAGCTCCAAGCGTTTTCTCAAACTCAGGCAAAACTTAGGACAGTACATGTATTCTGACATCGTGGTCTGAGCATTCTTGTTCCAGGCCATGATTACATCAAACATTACGAGCTGACCGTTTTTTCACATGGTTGTCTGTGTGACTCCTGCCTGACCCGGTTCTTCACAAGGAAGAAGAATCGAGAGCCTTTCCCGTTCCCAGGGGAGAAATCCGCTTGGCGTTTGCAGATGCTGTGTCACATCCTACCACGTTTAAGTGGTTTTCAATAGCTGGGACTTCCCAGGGGAGGCCCTGGTCACCGTCCTGCAGAGCTTCCTCGGTCCAGAAGAGCTGACCCAAGGCTCAGCACCGTAAACCAGCAAACAGGCTTACCCAGTGCAATGGGGACCGCACGTACCAGTGAGGTGGTCGGTTTTTTACATGATTTTAACATTACCTGGCTAAGACCTGCTCCTTCTTGCTGGTCCCTGCATTCCCTCACATTGGCAGAAGAAAGATGAGGTTCCAAGAAACACAGCAAACCAAGATCCTTGGCATGAGCAGATAGCCCACCCGTGAGATACAAATACACGCTCCTGCCACCAGTCTGACAAATATGGAAAATTATCCACGTTTCCCTGCTATCACAGAGCGAGAGCACAGGCATTTTTATAAGCAATGACCAAGTGTTCAGGGCCATTTATATGCAAGGGTTCATATTCACACCAGAAAGACTGAAAAGAGTGGGGTATAAAAAGGCCATAATTAATGAAGGGTTCCCTCAAGGAGTCTATATCGGTGCGCGCACACATAAAGACCAAGAGATGCCCAGCAGTTCAGAGGTACCTGGACTACCTCTTCAAAGGCTCAGCCTCTGGAATATTTTCCTAGCTCCTTAACTTGAGAGATGAAGAAATGTAAAAAAAAAAAAAAAAAAACCAAAACAAATTTTAAAAGAGAAAGAAAGAAGGGGGGGTGGGGGGAAAGAAAGCATGTGCTATGCTATTGCTTCACTTTTCTTTCTGAAATAGTCACATTTCTGCCCATCTTCTACCGAGTGTTTGCGGGGCTCTTCCCCATGCTTAATGAAAGAGGTCAAAAACCCCAACAAACCACCTTACAAAAAGGCTACGTAAGCATTTTGGTGTGTGAAGATGCCGAAGCTCCCCAGCACTCCTAGCCCATGCACGCAGAGGGAAGGAAAACCAAGGCCTATCCATAAACGTTACGAGGTTGGTAATCCTACAGCATTCCTCAAACCAATGAGGCAGGATTTCCCAGCTCATTGCTTGAGCGCTTCGTGCAAGGCACTTCTGAGGAAACCAACCTCTACACAAAGCTAACGAAGAAGACAATAGGGTGGTGCACCATCGGCCATCATTCCCAAAGCGGCTACAGAAAGCCATGGATACCGTAACCTCCATCAGCGCAGGGCGCTGCCCCGGGGCAGGGCTGCATTGCCGCAGATGCGGAAAGGCTAAACCCACGCTACCCGGTAGCTTGAGGCATCCCAGTATCTTCTCCAGAAACCCAGATCTCTGGTTCCCACCTTTCCAAGAAAGCTCGCTGAAAATTCATCACAAATAACTGCAATAAATTAAAAAAAGGAAAGTGAAGCAGACAGATGGCGTGTGGTTATTGCGATGAGAACACAGCGCAGGAGCCAACAAATGCTCCGCTACGCACATGAGGCTCCTTCCTCGCCGAATGCCCCGCAGGTGCCCACATCCACCTTTCCGCACCCGGTGCCCCTTGCCACGCTGACCGCTATTACCCACTGCACGGGTCTCTTCCAGACGAGTGCTACAATAGCGTGACAGAACCAGATCCCCTCTGCCCAAGGATGGAATGAAGCCATCTACCAGAAACGAGCCTTTTTGGTCTGAACTTCTCGATAGACAGGGCATCAGCTACAGGCACAGGGCTTTGACACCAACCGAAAAGAACGCGCTAAGTTACAGGAACGGAGCTGCTGTCCTGACGTGCTCCCTCTGACCAAACCAAAGAAGATGGGGAGACGCTGAGGACATTAAGACCCTCTCAGAGGACTGACCAAATCCCAGACAACATTCAAAGATTCTGAGGTTGGACAGACTCATCAAGTAGATGTTCATCATCTCGCTAACCTTCGTATATTATGCGCTGCCATTTAGAAATTCCTGAATTGTTTGCCTCAGCCACTGCGTGCTCCTGCTAAAATTCCCCACGTTGTAGCTACCTGAACTTTGCAAAGGCTTCCATGGATTCCAAACATAGATAAAGCCTGTCAGCACATGAAAGGTTGCGGAGGGAAGAGATGCTGAATTCGCCGAAGCAGACCCAGAAGGTCCACCATCAGGCACGCACTGTGTCTCACCGGGCTCGGGGTCTGCCAGCCCAGCTGACAAAGTGATTTCAACCCAGGAGCATCGGGCTGAGCCCATGGCCACCACCACAGAGGCTCATTTCGCACCGGTCGGTCGGTCGCCCAGCAGAGACGCGCGAGCTAGGTTTGAGTGGCCTTGCTGGGGTACTAGAGGCAAAGAACCTTTGGCAGCACAGGTCTCGGGAGAAGCCAGGGCGGTGAGCCTGCACGGTTCAGGCTGCTGCTCGGCTACTGCTGTGCCACCCCGCCCTCAGCAGCAGGGACTCATCCCCTGAAAGACCAATAAAAGCCCAACAGATTTCATTTGAAATGGCTGTCAGTTCTTACCTGCTCAGTCACACACAAAACCCACACCAAATAATTTAAGTCGCTGAGGACTGGCAACGAGGAATTGCTTGATTCCTCTCTGATATTTGTATCTAATTCCAGTTCTGTGTCTTGCATGTAGTTGTTCTTGTCCTTCTCAAACCCTCTTAAGTTCCAAGAACATGTGAACACCAAGTACAAACAGGAATTTGAGAAGCTGAGAGATGTTGAAAGAAAGGCAGAGCGCTGAAGGGGAATGGAGCTGCTCTTCCATCCTCAGCCCACAGCACCAAACCCCTCAATGTTCACTATGCAATGCGTCGGCCGGTAAGGATATGTGGAATATTAAAAAGGGGGGGAAAAACATACAAGGAATGGATTAAACTACGCAATAATTATTCTCAGATGGACCAGACACATTATCTTCAAGACAAGAGGAGAATCCTTGGATATGTCAAAATACATCCGATCAAAACAACTGCCTTCAAACCGCAGTAATTGCAACCAGTAGAGGAAGGAAAACAGTACCAGTCATTGGCACGATTTAGCTGTTACTCAGAAAGAAACAGGACCCAAACTTCAAACAGAAGTTGTACGGACAGGCGAGTCTTAAGAACAACTTGGAACATTGAAGTCATACGAGTATTTCTATTAACATCTCATGTCCCACAATATCCTACCAACTTAGGCACAGCTCAGGCTTGTTTCCACTCAGATGAGTACAAACTTTGCCCTTGGTTAAGGAAGGAAAAACCAAGCATTTTGCAACATTTCTTGACGAGGACACCGTGTGGCTGAGTTCTGCTCTCCTGGATGAAAGCACACGGGCACTGCTCTTGGCAGAGGAACCGCGGGTATGACCGGTGGCATATTTCAGCAACACATTTGAACGCTTTCTTTCCAAACAGCTCAGTCAAACCCGCCTCTTTCAAAAGCTACCGTAGGCTAGAGTCACCCAGAACGGATTTGCAAACCGTCAGCGCAGGGTACTGTACCTTCTGTATGGACGTCGGGGAGCGTGTCGGTGGGATGCTGCGCTACAGCTGACCGCCTGTACACCATGTGGATTCTTCCCTTCTCCTCTTCCATTTGCTTTCCTCTTTCCAAAGGCTCAATGAAGTATTCATCCTTATCCGTTCTTATCATTCCAGCCTGGCGAGGAAGAGAGAAAGCACACCAACATGTCATTTGAGAGCCTAAAGACCCGGCCTGATGCTTTAAACACAAATATCAAGAGGGGTGAAGAGAAGATGCTCAGCGTGTTACTGCCCTGTAAGACTCAAATTACTGCTGGGTTTCCTTTGCTCGGGCTCTTGCGGGAGGCGGTATCCCTCTGCTCCCTGGGGACGTTCATCTGGCTGAGGCCACTCTTCAAAGGCATGAAGGGAAGATCTTGCATATGTACGAGATACCTTACCCCTTCAAAATCACAACTAAGACCAAAGCCACGTAGGAGTTTGCCATTTGTAAGCTCTGCACAGCTATTCCGAGCCCGGCATGCTGAGCACTGCGTACTGCTGTGTCCTGCTAATCCTTACCCCATGTATATCCCCGAATCCCTGACGGCTCAGGCCCTTCACTAAAATCAGCAGAAGCCATACGGTTTCCTACTTAAATGAACAGTTCCATCCTACAACTACATACCTATCGACAATTCTTCAAACCCCTTTCTCTACGCCTTCCGCCCCTGTGAAAGCCGCGGGACAGGTTTGCAGAGAAGGCAGATTTATCCCGGCCATTACCACAATTAAACTCAGCGGATTACGTCGCACCTGCCTAAGTCCAGTTTAAGGGAAGAGAGACTCATGCTCAGGAGGAAAAATTTCTTTGCTGGCGCTCAAATCCCAGTAAGTAATGGTGAAGGAAATCTGGCAATGCACTCAAGGCAACAGTCACTTAACAAAACCCCGCTGACGTCAAAGGGCAGCAAGGCTTGTCTTCTTCCAGCACAGCCAGTGAAAGCAAGAACATCACGCAGGGGAAAACGGACACAGAATACTGGGAAGCACCAATGGGATACGTATTTTGAGGAATCTGAAAGGTACTGTCAAGGAGAGCAGGGTGGCAGAGCCCCATCCCACACGGCTGCTGCGGAGGCGCTGGGACCGGTGATGTCGGCCAGGGTGCCGGAGGTGTTGGGGCAAACACCCCGCAGCCAACCCACCCTGGAACTCCTGCAAACATTTCGCTCTAGGGTCAAGGCGCGATGTCTGCTCAGCTCAAACCAAGGCGTGCGAAACCTCCTGTTCTCATCCCGCCTCCATCCCTTCCAGAGGTGAGCTTAGGTCTCGCACACAGGGAACCGGGCAGGAGAGCCCTTCAGCTACAGCTGCCATCGCTCGCCGGCAGCAGAGCGACGCCTTGGCTTTGTCCACAAACCCAAGCAGCCCCTGCAAGAGAGCTCAGCAACTGCAGATTTCACTGCACGTAAGGCAGGAATTCATAGAATCATAGAATGTTTGGGGCTGGAAGGGACCCCCAGAGGTCACCCAGCCCAACCCCCCTGCAGGGAGCAGGGACACC